ATTAACAAATCTAACTCCACTATTCAACCATATAATGAGGCAATTTCATTATTTCCAACTCAATTCCATATAACCACCATTTTCTCGAATTAATCATATCAATTAATTTATACAACCAATTAGGGTTTTCTACCCCATTTCTCAATATTGACCCAATGGTCTATATTTCAACAACCAACATCAATAACACCATTTTGAAACCCAAAATACATATTATGAGCCCAAAATCACAAAACCCTCTTTAACACATTTTGAAACCCTAAGTCCCAAAATTTTCCCAACTTCAACACTTTATCAAAACAACTAAAAATCTAGGTCAAGGACCATAAGAGTGAGTAGGAATCTCTACCGCAAATTCGGAGCTCAAGGGAAGAAGATGACGAAGCTCAATGCGTTCCAAAACTCGAGATTTTCGGATCAAGGTAAAGCCCTCGATGATCAACCCAACTCTTGTAAAGACCAAAGGTGAGGAATACACCCTAGCTAGATCAATACTTAGAGAGAAGTTATGATTTTAGAGAGAGGAGCTCTCAAATGGCTTTTTGGAAAAGTAAGAGAGAGAGAGAGAATGTAAAAAGTGATTTTAAAATGCCCAGCTGCCAACTGATATACGACATTCCCGCTCGAGCGGAGAACACAACGCTCGAGCGTCAAGAACAAAAACTAGGTCCACTCGAGCGCAATAAGACCCGCTCGAGCGCCAAGACACAAGAATAAAGCACATCCGCTCGAGCGTGAAAACCAATCCGCTCGAGCGTAGATTTCCCCCTCCCAGAACTTACACCAAAAAGTACTACCCGTTCGAGCGCCAGAATACCCGCTCGAGCGCAAGAAGACCCGCTCGAGCGGACCTCCTAAAATCTGGGCAACAAAGAATTGAAACCAGAGCCTAACCAACCTGTAACAACTCTGCCCAATACATCCTACTCAATCAAGTGGAATTAAAGGATGACAACAAGGTGTATCACTACCAACATCACGGAACCGAGTCCGGAATACAACAGAACAGTAAAGGGGCAACCGGGATCGCTATAGAGTTGAAGGAATTACAAGTGAAGCCACAATGGACCTTGAGGATGATAACTCTACAAAAGATAACTCACTTCTTTGGAAATTGCTGAATTCTTCTTCTCTCTTTTGTTGGGAAACAAATTTTCACACCATTGGATCTCATAATCACAAGTAACAAAAACTTCCATTTCTACTCTTTATTTCCTAAAATCTATTTCTCTATGAGTCAAATGGTTTTGAAATTATTTGATTTCGGTTATGAAATGATATGATTTCTATAGCATCTCTTCTCTTCTCTACAATGATTGAAGTGGGTTTTTAAATGGTTTCTACTTCTATTTTTTGAAATGAGTTTCTAAAAGATTTCTATTTCTTGAGATGGGTTGGATTTAGGTATAGGTTGGGGTTTTGTATATTTGAAGGTGGAATTGTTAATGTAAATTTCATACCCTAATAATAATATTAATTAAAGAAAACAAATACTCCTATATTATTAAATGTTGTTTGTTTGTAGTTTTTTCTTTCCTTTTTTTTTTTTTTTTTTTTTTTTTTGGGATACAAAGTCCCCGAGCCTTCTTTGATTCAAAAAAGTAACCACCTTACAACCAAATGAGGGGTGAAGAAGAGATTGGTGGTCTGCTGATATATTCAACCTTTTCCAATAACTTAATTAATTAATGGGGTTTTGTGTTTAGTTTTTTAAATTCCCCATGCTTTCAGAACATTTTTAATCAAATAATGCATGGAAAGTTGATCCTCATTTTTGTTTGTTTTAATTGCCTCATTTTTTGTTCTTTTTGTTTTTTGGTTTTTTTTTTTTTGGGTTTTTTTTATTTTTATTTAGGGAAGAGGAGGGGGTTTGTCATATGTTGTGATAGTCCTATAGAGAACAAGATAATTTTTTAAGGAAATGAATTAGAAAAACATATTGATAGGCCAATGTTAAGTAAAAAAATTGTAATAGGACTGAGATGTGATTGATTTTGTTTGATTATTTTAATAAATAGAATTGAATGAAAAGATTGTTAAGTAAAAAGTCTAATAATGAAGAATTAGAGAGAGGTTTTAGTCCTATTATTTAAAGAGTTTAAAATTAATATTTAAATTCATAAAAGTAGTGTTTTTATATATATATATATATATAAACAGAGTTTGTTATTTTTGCTTATAGGTTCAAACTTGTATGATGCCATGCCATTGCTTCAGTTGATATTTATTTTTTCTTCAATCCAAGTTTCTAATCTATGTTGTGTATCTATTTTTTTCAATAGTGCATTGTACATTTTTCAAAGCTGTGATTTATCATTTTTTGGCAAGAATACAATTGTTGTCTATATTATAAGTACAAGCATTTATGTTATTTGACAATAAGGCAGAAAACAAAAAAAATTAAAAATAGGACATGAGTATCCTTATGTGTTATTTGACATTCAGTCCATATTCTCTACCTAAATGATTTCTTGTTTTAGCCACTGCCCAACCAACCTTGTAGCCTACTTACTTGATAAGCTTGAAAGTGTATTTTATCCTTATTTATTTGGTTGATATTAATGAGGTTTAAGTCATAATATTAAGCATTGTTTTAGAGGTCTTTACATTTAGATTTTGCATCATTTATAATTACTCATTTCATTTGATTTCATATTGCCTTCTGATTTTGCCTCAAAGAGGCTGAGAAAATTTATTATTATTTGTGCGTTCTTGTGGACATATAAGCCTTATGAACCTATCTTTGGTAGACATATCATCATTCCACCTTTTGCAAAATAGAAATATTGTCTTTTTTTTTTTATTATCTAAAAAAAGAACTTCATTGATAAATCACAAAGTACAAGATTCAAGGATTACATCAATAAAGGGGAGGGAGGTTGGTGAGAAACCAACAAAGAAAACCAAAACACAACAAACACTTCGGCTATCCTGTCTCAAGTCTCACAAACCGGTACAGAACATAACAAAACTTGACAGCAGCCACCCAAAAGCCGTTCAAACCATTCGTTCATTAGTCTTCAGTTTCGATCAAATTATAGTTTATTTTAGTACATTAGGACACATATATATACGAGGTCTGAAAGGCTAGTCCTCATCATCCTAGCTAGTATTATGCAGGTTGTAGTGTTAGGAAGTTAAAAATAAAGCATAAAGCCACCTTTAAAATCCTAAAAAGCCTAAGTAGAAAGCTAGTCATCCCATGTGAATAACTGTGATGTCTTCCCATTTTTTTTTATTGTAATGATTATGGTTCTATAAATGAGTCAAACAAAAGTTACAATCTTTGCCAATTAAATTAATTCTTTTTCCAATTAGGACAGCACAGGGGACAACTTCCACCATACTTGGTCTTTTTCCAAATTACTTTCATTTCAGCTTTTGTTATTTAGAAATTATCATATAGGTGGCTGTATGTTTGGTTAATAAGCTACCTTTTGTGAAAAAAAAAAAAAAAAAATCTTGCTGTTATTCTTATTTTTTGGGCAATATATTAGGAGTGGCTGTTGTGTTTGATATATCATAATTTTGAGACTAAGTATTTTATTACTAACATTTTAATATTTAATTTTTTTCATATGTTTGAGAGATTGGCAATGGATGGAACCTATTTTAGGGAGCATCAAAGGATTACATTTTGAAATTTTGGATATATTTTGTCATAGGATTTTGTAACTTGGATTTTTTTTTTTTTTGGGAATCATTGTGTATATGTTTTAAGTTTCGGATTGTAAGGGATTTACTCATGTTGAATGTTTTGGATTTGTTATTTTACTTATATTTAATATGCAACTAGTTTTGAATTAATTAAGTTTATAGTTTGGATGCTTTGCACAATGTATTATTAATTTTTTATTTTTTTTATTACATGTATGTGTAGAAATTATGCACAGGAAAAGTAAGTTCGGGTTTGGATTATTTTTTACAAGTTTATGAATTGAACAAGGAAATTGTAAAAAAAATTAAAATATTGAATTTTTTATGACTGGTTTTTTAGTTGTTAATTTATTTTTGGTGACAATTTTTTTTTTTCGGTTACTAAAAGTCTATAGCAACCAAAATCTTAATTGGTCGCCAAAAGATTTGGCATTCAACAACTAATTTGTTTGGTCGGTGAAGAATGTTTTAGCGACGTTTTTATAGGTCGCTAAAACGTTTAAGATTATTTTTAGCAACTAAATGTTACTTTACGGCGATGACTTTTTGGTATTTGGTGACTAAACTATTTGGTCACTGATTCTTTTATAAGCGCGATCGTAATTTATTTGGTAGCCGAATCATTTAGTGACATGGCTTCAACGACTTTATTTAATTTTTTTTTTTTGCATCGCTAATACTTTCGGCAACGAAAAATACACTTTTGGTGACTAAAAAAAAGTCGCTAAAAGTGCAAATTGTTGTAGTGCTCGAATGGAAAAAACGAATTGTCACGCCTCGATAATATAATCCTCAACAATTATCCAATCTTTTAATTCCATTTCCAAATAATAATTGTAATTAGTATGTATAAATGATGTAGATAGATTAGATCAGCATAGCACCCCAAAATACTTCTCTTTCTCATTGAACTTCCATTTGATTACATGTTCACCATACATCCATCATTCCCACATTCAGAAATAATAATACATGTAGTTCAAAAAGTTAGAAAAGAGACTACACTAGGATGCCGTAACGGCTTACAAATTTTCAAGACGCACTACAAGAAATTAAGGTTTTAAAGACAAATTTTTAGAGACAAAAATAATTTGTTTGTAAAAATTATACTTTTAAGGACAAAATAAAAGAATTTTTTAAAAAATATATTTAATCATATTTTTACATTTTCTAGACAAATTTGTTTAGTTAAAAAAGGATCAATCACTTTTCTCTACAATTTTAGTTGGTCTCTAATAAATCCAAATCATATTCCTACAATTTTAATTGGTCCCTAATAAACCCAAATAATATATTATTGTATTTTATATATCAAATTTTGAACTCATATAGTCGGGAACAAAATGAAAAAAAAGGTTTCATCACTCTCTCTCTCTCTCTCTCTCTCCCTCCCTCTTTCTCTCTCTATCAAATCCCTAATTTCTTTTCATGCATCTCTTTTCTACGGATTCGATATATGAATTCACTGGTTCTTCTCAACGATCTCGTTGATTGCTTCTGATCTGTGGTTCATCATTGTCTCAAAGCATCTCTGTCCAGGGCTGGATCACTCCGTTGCCGCCTCATCTCTCCTTGATTCTCCGATTTCCCGGCGTATCTCCGGTAGCGATTCCGATCAGGTACCATATATTATCAACTTATTTGATAATCGACTATCATATTTATGAATCGCCTATCATATATATTATAATCGACTTATGAATGGGAGTTAGAAAATGAAAATGAATATGATAATCGATTATCATGTATGTATCTGTATAATCGATTTGATGTAACAGCAGCCTCTTGGATGCTTTTAACATTCTGAGATTTGAGTGGAAAGTATCTTGGGGTTTCTATTTGCAAATTTAGATTCTCTCCATTACATGGTTTGTTGGAATTGAAGTGAATGGAGATCTCTCTAGTTCAATGCGTGACATATGGATGTAAAATTTGAAGTCAATTTTTTATAATTGTTTTTTTTATCCTGCTCGAATTTGCTTTGAAACGTCATAATCTCTGCAAATCAAGTGCCAAGAAGATACATTAATTCATGTCTTATAGTTATCATTTGTAATTCTTAATTCTTCTTCTTACGATAGAGTCTACCTGATCTCTTGATCTAATAAAATAATCATTATTAAATTCAAATCAATATTATTATTAAATTCATCAATATTATTCTTTTAATATATGGATCTGGGCTTGGTGGAGAGCCAATCCGAACAAGGCTTTGGTGGCATACTTCTGTTCTGTGTAAGTGATAACATTGATGAGATGGTGGCTCAAAATTTGGAAGGAGATGAGATGAAAGAAGACTAAAGCATTGGAGTGAGAAAATCAGTGAAATGTGTGTGAATTAGGGTTTTGATTTGAAGGTGGGTGGAAACCTATTTAAGTGGTGTGTGTACATGATTTGAGTTAGGGTTATAATTAGAATATGTGTTGTGTGGAATGAGAATAATAACTGGAAAAAAAAGATAACTGAAAAAAAAAAAAAAAATTATATCGAAAAAGAGAAAAATACCACATATTGGTTCAGAAGACATTACTGCCCCAAATTGATTTAGATGATGTTTACCATGAACATTATCACAAAGAAGGTGGCAATTGCAGTGGGGAATAGAGCAGATGCACACCCCCAACATTTAGGAGGTATAGATGAGTTACTTGTGTTGTTAAGGCTCTAAGTTGCAAGAGTCACCTACTGAGGATGATGTTTTCCCAAGGAGCACGGATACGGACATGTGACACAACACAGACACGATACGGACGCGTAAATTTTCAAAAAAATACAAGACATGACACGTTCAAAACATATATTTTTATTATATGTATATTTTAATTTTTTTTTGGGGGAAAAAATAGTACTTAGCATGTCTTTAGCATGTCCCAATGTGTCTAGAGGTGTCCCAACATGTCCAACTCTTTCTTGAATTGAACAATGTTCCTGTTGAGATAGAATCATGGTTCCACCTAGAATATTTGCTAACTATAATACAGGGTTTTGGGGGTGCAGTCTATGCCCCCCACTTGGATCCATTGCTATCTGTAGGTCCCTTATGTTTCAGGGTAATTCATACTTTTCATTACATTAGATATTTAATATGTACATGCATTTCCAAACAAACACCCCCCCGTTCGGCGGGCGGAATGTGATTTGAGCCATACTTTTGATTGAATGTCCTTTGATTGCTCAATATATATGCCCTTCCTTAAGCAGCATGATATTTTAGTCTAGTTATGCTTTTCTCTCTCCCTCTCCGTCTCCCTCTCTCTATTTTTTTTCCTTGGGCTCCTAAAATTTTTCTTGAATTTGTGACTTGCCTACTTAGACAGCCAGTTGAACACATAGTAAATATCACACAGTTTGGGGCTCCTTGTAATATTTAATGCCTTACTAATTTCTGTTGCCTAGCAATGAGCTCAATTTTATCAGATTTACTTTTAGCATTTTTTGGATTAAAGCTTGTGTGTGTATTTGAGTTCGTGTGCCCAGGGTTCTTAAGGGATTTTTAAAACTCCAATTAGTTGATATCTGTGAAACTCTCATCAATAGTTGTGCATGTGTATTTGAGTTCATATGTTTGAGTGGTTTTTTAAGGGCATTTAGTGCTTGATGAGAGTAGAAAAGCACGCCAAGACTGGTATTGCTCCTCTCAATTTAATTTTTGTTAATAAAAGAGAAATTACCATCTAACCCCTGCAACATATATTATATAATATGAGTTCTAATTGGCTTTAAGACTTCAGTTTACTTGTGTAAGATTCTGATTGCTCCTCGAAGAACCACAGGTTCTTGACAACCGTTGTTGAAGAAATTAAGTATGCATAAAATTGGTATAAAGGGATTTTTTAGTTTGATTTTGCCAAATTTATCTTGGCAGTGCAGAACTTTGTAGAGTACTTAGAAGAAAAGAGAAGCATACAAATCAAATACTTGAAACTTGCTCTTAGGGTTAGTGTTTCTCCTTTTGAGTTTTGCTTTGGGTCATTAAATGGTGAATAGTACTAGCTTAAGCTATGTAGTTTGGCATATATCTAATTTGGGTGACCCCATGCCTCTTCACTACATCCACATCATAAGAATTTCCAATTACATGAAAAGGAAAACAGGATTGGTGGTTAAAATATTGCATTCGTGGCTTCTCTTTGATGGAAAAGTAGTATGGATTTAAGAATTTTGTAAAGGAATTTTCAGTAAATGTTCTCTATATATAACCCTTTTATATTTGTGTTAACTTGAGGGGGAAAATATGATGTTGAAGTGGTTTACATGTAAAGTAAAACTCAAAAGTTAGAATATGAATCTTGGTTATACAAGAGAATGAAAATCCTTATTCTTTTTTGTTTTTTTTTTTAATTTTTAATTTGGAAAGGAACAATACACACATTAAGACATTTATCTACTATCTAGACTCTACACACATCATTAATGGGTCCCCAGACTTTCCCATTATTAATTATGCTGCACTGGTATGCCTCGTGCAGTTGGATTTTCCAAGGCTATGAAACTGCATGTTGCCAGCAAATGGTTCATATCCCTATGAGATAATGCCTTGTTTCTTCGATGATGATTAATTTGTGGATCATATCAAGAGATATCACCTAACATCTATGCCATACAAGACATTCTTAGGTTCTTATCTGCTGCTTACTTTGACTACTCTTTTTATGAATGCAGCTGCATCAGCCAGTGACAGCTGAAGATTTGGAATCCGCTTCTACTACACAAGAAAATTAATAGGCTGACTTGAAATTGAGGGGAGCCTCTTGTTGTCTGCCAGAATTGCAATTCATCTCTCTTGCTTTGGCACATAATAAATTGAAGTTCAGAAAATCCGTCTGTGTCCCTCTGCACGTGCTGACACAACCACATGCATTGAGAAGAAATTTGCTAAAAACCCAACTAAGGTTGAAGAGCTTGTCACCTAAAGGTCTGTGTTGCTCATGTTCTTACTAAATTTAATTATATATATATACATATATTTTTCCAAATTTTGTGTGGATGAACAAACTTTTTAGTTAATATCCATTCCCAAAGTACAAACAAAGAACATATGATAATTGAGATTATGGAATGAGTCATCAGTCCTAAAACGCGCTTTCCGTATATAGTTTTCTCTAACTACTTAAATATCAGAACCTTGTCTTAATTCTATTCCCTCCCATTTGCTCTGGCTAGCTAAGAAAACAGATAGTAAAGTAGAACAAGCCTGTATTGGAGCTGGTTTTTTTTTTTTTTTTCTACTAGAAAAGTTGCATTACTTTCAGAGAGTCACTTGAGCAAACTCCAACGTGGCATAAGTATCTTGGCATATGTAAAATATATGTAATCCTATGTAAAAAACTCTGCATGTTATATCTTGGCATTCTGATGATGACAAGCTTTATGCACTGCATGATTCTGCTTAATTGCTGGTTACTTGTACTAAATCTAATGGTGTATACTGTTTATTAATATATATGCATAAGTATATATGCAGTGTAGCAATATATGATGTATATACCCTCAACTTCTCAACAGGTATGTCCACAAGAGGCAGAGGACGAGCAGGGTATGTACCTAGACCCCATGCACCTACACCCCATGCATCCACTAAATCAGTTCGCTCATCCACTCAATCAACACCTGGACCCCATGCATCCATTAAATCAGTTCGATCATCTACACTGCACCCATTTACATCAGAATCGGTACATGAAGTTACGTCACAAGTTTCACACTCGGATACTTCTAGCACACATTGCAACACTGATGGTTTGTAAATATTTTAAGTTTATGTTTTGTTTTGGTTGGTGGTTCTCGTCTTTTCAATCTATATATTAACATGATACTTTTTCACTGTGCTTTTAGTATCTTCTGAATTGATATGATTGGATTACATGTATATGCTAGTACAGGTTATACATCACTGTGCTTTTAGTATCTTCTGAATTGTTTTCTTCAAGGCAGCAGCACCTGATCTGGGTCCCTTTTGATTGTTTGTGTTAAATCTGAACTGAGTTTTTGATCTTTTGTAGAAAATAAGAGGAAAGGACTATACATTCACTTTTCTAGAAAATTGTGAGTATTAACTTTCTAGATTTTGGCCTATTCTATGCAGGTCCTGCAAGCTTGCGTCGATTTAAAGCTCGGGAGCTCTCTGCTAGATTTTGAATGCCATTTTAACGAAACCATTGAGAAGAAGATGCGATGAGTTGAGTTGAGTTGTTTTGTTATGTAGGTAGATATAATTCTAATAACAATCTGTTCATTGAACAGTTGAATGCTATAAACAATGCTTATAACACTAGCCTTATAAATTGGAAATGATACTTTTGAAATCTCTGTCATATATACAATCAAGATATTACGTACTAATGAATTAGAGCATGGTATTTGTTTGTTATTGAATGCGATGAGCATTTTTTTTTTTTTTGTGTAGTTGAATTTTAATTTGGAGATGAGTAGATGGTTTGGTGATATATATTTTCTGTTTGGTTGTTGAGAAATCAAGAAAGGAATATAAGGTGATGTTCAAATTAGTATTTTTAGAATATTGTTACAAAATAAAAAAAAATAAAAAAAAAAACAATTATCAAACTTTTAGAGACCAATTTTAGTTGTCTCAAAAAATATTTAATAAGCTTTTAGCCACTATTTTTATTTGTTCAAAAAATTAGAACTTTTAACCACCATTTCCCTTTGTCCTAAAAAACTAAAACTTTTACCGACCACTACCATTTGTGCCAAAAAATTAAAACTTTTAGCCACCAATTTGTGTTGTCGCAAACATTAAAACTTTTAGACACCAATTTGTGTTGTCCCAAAAATTAGTTTCTTTGTCTCCATAACTACCATTGTTGCCTTGGACTCTAAATAGACTTTTAGAGACAAATTTTGGTTGTCTCAAAATCAAAACTTTTTGCAACCATCTATTTTTGTCTCTAAAAGTCTATTTATAGTGACAAATGCAAAATTTTGTCTCTAAAAGTCATTTTTTGACTTTTCCGGACGGGCCATTTGGGACAAACTTCGCGACGGAGGAAATTGGTTGGCTAAAGTTTTTCCCAACAAATATTACACTTTTAGGGACAAAATAAATTTGTCCCTAAAAAGCTGATTTCTTGTAGTGACGTCATGTTTTGAATCACAAAAAGAATAAAACTACTTGGACACATTAGCTCAACATCTAAATCACAATAGGCACAACAAAAGAGCGTATGTGCTCCACAAAAGATTTATCCTCGTCTTCTGCTCAATGAGATAGCGCTCTTTCATCTTGACATGAAATGTTAATTTTATAGGAATGAGCAAAATTGCCCAGTATAAAATACATTTAATAAGGTATATCAACATTTGATATAATCATATGCAACCCAAAATCAGTTGTCCTAAGAATTTTATTCAAAATGAACCCACATAGGGGTGTGTGTGTGTGTGTCTGTGTCTAGATAAATATAAGATCTTTCAAAAACAATCCCACATTCTCCATCCTCACACGGATGGGCCAGTGGGTACCTCAAACTTTTTACATTTATCGTCCTCACATGATCGAGCATGTGAACACCTCAAATATTTTTCACATTTATCGTCCTCACATGATTGAGCCCGTGGGCACCTATATTCCCGCTCGGGTACCAAATACATCATTCAACATATCATTTCAACAAACTCCTAAATTTACCTCATCACAAGATTTCTCAACACATCTACATAATATCAATTTATTTCCAATTATCTCCTTGAAAGCCAAAATCAATAGCTAGAGTTTTATAAAATTTAGGACTTTTCTCCATATTCTCTATAAATCCAAGAGTCATGGAATCAGAATATCTAAACATTACAAGATTATTGAAGGAAGAACACATTTCAACATTAACACCCATTAAGTCAAGTCAACTATCTCATACCACAACATGTATTATGAAAGCTAACACATAATCATGTCAAAATATAGATATACAAGATTAAAGGTATTCCTACTTTGAAAATAGAAGCTAGAAATGAAACGCAAGAAGAAACTTCGAAGATAAAGTGACTTGATCAGTAGAATGTCTCTACCTCCACTTCACTTCTAGTATTAAATCTAGGATAATCTTTTGCTGAAAATGGGTGAAATCAAGAGTTTTGGATTAAGGTTTCTCAGAGAGAGAGAGAGAGAGAGAAGAGTGAGAAATGAGGAGTAAAGTGACTTTTTAATATGTTGATCCCAAATAGATCGCTCGAGCAGTGTGAGAGCTTGAACCACTCGAGTGGTAATAACTCTATTGCTCGAGCCAAAAATACACCTCCCAGAATATCAAACCTGCAGGACAAAATACTGAAAGTTTCGATTCACCGCTCGAGCGTTAACTCCACCGCTCGAGTGATCCAGCCCTAGTTAGAATGTTACACGAACTAAATCGAGCGAAAATTTTACAAAATGACCTCGAAGAAACCTTCCAAAACCACAAAAATCAAACCTCATAGATTGAAAACAGAATCGGAATCTGAAAACAAAATCAAATCGCAATCCCCATAGAAACTAGAAAAAAAAAAAAAATCGAATCAATTTCAACCTATATTGTAAGAGCATCTCCAATGGTAGTAGGCATTTTACCTATCTAAATATTACTATAAAGTATACATTTTATTTTGCCTATCAACGATTTCATGTTTCTGCCCCAACCATACTCTTTATTTTAGCTATTCATCCAAATACTATTAACTTTATAGAATGCCACGTCAGCAACAAAGATGGAGGGAAATAATCTTAATGATTAAATACATTTTGCCTAGCCTTGAAGGCTAGCTACATGTAGCTAGTGAATGGGAGCTGAGCCAAAATGCCTAAGCATATGCCTAGTGCATTGGAGTTGAAAAAAGTGAGTCACATTAGGCATTTTGACTAACAAGCATCATATGCCTAGTGGGTTGGACTTAAAAAAATGGGATAAAGGACCTAAGCTACTAAAAGAATAACATTGAGGGATCTTAACTAGGAAGGAAATTATCTTGGACCTCTCTTATTATCCAAACCATATGGAGGATATATTTCTAATTTTCCCTTTTAACTATTGTGTGTCCATTTATTATTTTTAGACTTGAATAGCTAACATTTCTTTAGAAATGTGAAATTACCATAGTGAAGGGAGAATATCAAATTTGCACTTAATCTGAGAATGTGATTCATGCTCAAATAAATAATCAAGAATTATTTTTTTATTTTAATCAATTCTGAACACTAAAGTTATAAGAATTTGAAATCACATTTTTATGTCTTATTAAAATTTCATACCCTTTTTTTCATCTATCAATGTCTCCAAAAAGTAATGGGGTAAGGGTATCCATATCAGACTCAGTAAATTTTGATCTAAATTATAATAAAAAAGTAACTTTTTATATTTTATCTAACATTTTTTTTTTTTGTATATACATCTCTATTAGACTCCCTATTCTAAAATTTAATTTTATAAAATATCTATTTTTATTCGGTGGTCAACCACTTGGTTAAAATTGCCCAATTTTGAGAGATATTGGGTGGTCGACCGGTTGGATGACCGAGTGGTCAACCATTTGATAAAAATTACCTGGTTTTTTCATTTATTGAGTGACCGATCAAGTGGTTGACCAGTTGGATGATCGGGTGGTCAACTACTTGATGAAATTTTCTTTACAATAAATGATAAAATAGTATATAACTTGTGAACTATTGCTACATCAAGCATGTACTGTAATAATGCCAAATTTTATTTTGTTGCAACTATCCTGATGTAAAGATTCTTTTGGATATTGTTGGACTAATATAAACACAAAGCTAATATAGCAAGCTTGATGCAGATGCTTTAAAATAATTATTTTAAAACTTATGGATGCATTAAAACAATATACAAAACTTACAAATATTCAAGTCCATCACATAAAATTGACAGATAATTAATCCTTAAAAATTTTATCATTTAAATATATCCTTAAAAGCTGGATATATTAGTGGCTTGGACTCGACACTTGGATGCCTTGGATACCAAATTATAGGGGTAGTACTACTCAGTTCATAAATTTGATGACAGAAAATCACAGAAATTCTGCACGTTTGGTAACTACGCCAGTTTCTCATAAAAGAGAACCTTCACAAACTTATTTGATAATTTTTTTAGAAAAAATAAAAAATTAATTTGGTGAAAAAAATTATTATTTTATATTATTTTATTTTATAGGACGTCAAACATAATTTTTAAAAATTTAAAAATACCTTTTTAATATTTATTTTTATCAAATTAGTTTCTATTTTTTAAAAAAAAAAAATTCCGATTTTTTTTTCCTAAAAAACAAATCAAACAAAATGAACAGTTTTATTTTTGTGTGGAAATCAAACAAAATGAACAGTTTTATTTTTGTGTGGAAATCTCAAATCAAGTGGATAATTAAAATAAAAAATAAAATCTTATTTTATGGAATATAAGTTTATCCTGTGTTTGGTGTTCGAGTGCTTTATTTACACTCAAAATACTATTTTTATAGTATGATGTGACAAGTTCAACTTCTAAATTCTTTGGGTTCCAATTAAAGTCACAAGAAATTATTCAGACCCAGAAAGTTTCAAACTTTGAGATTTTTGATGGGGAGCACACCGTCAGATTCAAAGTCGTAACCCCTTGAGGTCCCATTACAGAGTCATAAGTAGTTGTTTGTTCTCAAGTGATTGGGTTTCTAATTATCATTGGATTTCATGAAACAATCAAATAGTATCTGTGGAGTGATTTTGATTATGAGCCCTACTTGAGTACTCTCTGTTCTGGATAACGTAAAGCAGAGAGAAGCCCCAAATATCTAAAAACAGTATTCAAATGTAGCAATGACATACTATATGGTTTTTTTGAACTGAATTTGCTGAAGGGAAATATTGGGACCCCACAAGAAAGGACCCCATGACCCCCACCTACAAAACAGTATCATCATGATTTTTATTGATGTATTGATTATTAATGTGTTTAAATTCTTTTTGGGAGTTGTGTTTGACAATGACACGAATGGTTCAGATCATTTTGGGGGTTGTGGAGGTTGTGTTTTGTAGAAGTCTCTATTATTACTGTTTGCTGAATTATCCTCCAACTAGGTGACTCTTAAGTTATGAACTTATGGTCATGAATTTGTGAAGAAAAATAATAAAGAAAAGAAAATTAATTGATAAACAAAAAATGAATAAATTACACTCATCTCTCTTGAAATTTATTAAAAGAAAAAAAAAAGCAGTTAACCCCTCACTTTTGACATAATTACGCTAACCTTTCTTTTAGTAAAACTAAAATAACCCTCAAATGTAAATTAAAACTTCAAAGGAGACTAGTATAATTATATCAAAAGTGTGAGACTAATTATATTTTTTCTAACTTTCAAGGAATGTGAGTGTAATTTATTCATACAAAACAAATTAAATATATATCTTTCATTTTCCTTTCATTTGATAAATCCAAGATTCAAATAATCTTAGGTGAACAAGTCTTCGCGTTATATCAAGCCACTACATTTACTTGGCCAGTTGAAAAAGGAATCTTAATTTTCAATTTGATTGCAAAAGTGACAGAAATAGCAGTTGAAAACCTTCTTCTTCCAAAAGAACACACCTTATCTTATAAAACTCTTAAGAGGGTTCAGAGTTGAATGAAAGGGAATAGTAGTAGAATAATGACAAAAAAAATAAATAAAAATCCAAAGTTGAGATCTGTTTGGTTACAAGCATGTTTATAGGGTATTTAGCCTTCCTAAATCAGCAAATGCCCTCAACAAAATCTAATTAAAACAATCAAGAAAAAACCATATAAATTAAATCAAACCCAAGACACCCATATGTAAAAATAGACAAGTCATCTCTGTAAATACATTACACAAACCTAATTAGTCATCAGCATTAGGCTAATCAATCTTAGCGTATTGTTTTCTATGCTCTTACTCAGCTCCTCCAGCTTCTTCATCCTCAATCTCTCGCTTTCGCTCACCAGCTGTTCAAATAATCACCAAATGCAAACACATTGACAATTAGAAAAAAGAAAGTCTTGACTAAATATAATTAATCAGCAATGCTACACATTTAGAATTTTTACTTAAAAGAAGTGTCCAAAATTTAAATTGCGACACTTAATTTAATTAACAAAAATCTATAAATCCAAAAATTTTATTCAAAAAAAGTGTCCAAAATTTAAACTGTATGGATCATATTTATCTTGGTTGGGGTCCACACCATGTCAAATTCAAATTTACACCATACATTCAATTCTAGGTGTATGCATTTTTCATTAAGAAATGCACTGGATTATATGCTTATGTTCCAAGTAAGAAACAAGAATATTAATAACAAACATGAAGCTAATTACCTCCATCAATCTGGTAATTAGCTGTACTTTTTCCTTGTTCTTGTCATTGAAAGCCTCAAGAGCTTCTTTGTACTCTTTCTCCTGTGACCAACAAAAAACTCAGAAGTTTGATCAAATTTCTTACATAATCAATTAATCAAACTACTAAATTCAAACATGTTTGGATTTTCACCATATATGTAATTTTCGAGATACTTTTCAGGATAGGTCCCTTCTACCAAAATAATTTTGAATTTAATAGTTGAAAATGTTTTTACCTTCTTCTGACAAGTTTGCCCCAATGGCTTCAAATCCTTGTTGACCGAGTCGATCTTCTTACGAACAAGTGAGACTTCTTTCTTCATTGGATCTGTTAGTGCCTCAAGCTCCTGGCAGATTTGCATTTGAGTTCAAACAATTGTTGAAGGCAATTCCTAAGCATATATCTAATACACACCGCTTAAGCAATTTATATGAAACATTACATAACATGCCAACCACCACTAACATGGAATAATTTTACTTTTGACATGCTAATTGGGTCAGCTTGATCAAGACAAAGGATCATTTATCACCAAAATTTCTATTTTTTTTTTATTCTAATGCAATTTAAATATACGATCATGCATTGAAATTCTCACCATCACCCAATTGAAAGTGCATTAATATAGAAATTTGAGAACAGATATAGTAAATGATATAGTTATTGCAATTATAACTAAAATTAAAATTCTTCTTCTTCTTATTATTATTATTAGCAAAAGTTGATGGAAAATACATCACCTCGTTATTGTCAAAATTTTTAAGTACAATAAAATTTGAGGTAATATGAAAACGAAATTTATTGTGACTAATTTTACAAATATGGTTTCTCGTTTGACGATTATATCATTCTTTTCCCTTCAAAATTTGATGAAAGAAACAAACTTCGGTTTTCTTTTCTTCCAAAATTCTAATTTGTACACAAATAGTAAAAATGAAACCCATAAATCAAGTGACTAATTCTACAATTATGGTTCTCTGAAATTCTTGAAATGACAATAATATCAATCTTTTTCACATATACTAACATGCATAATTTAGTATCGTAGTTGAACGACAACACACAAATCAGACACAATACACAATAGTGTGACAGATTTCTATGTTCCGTTTTTTTTTTTTTTCTCCAGATAGTTATGTTCCTATTAGAATTAATCATACAATTATGTATGTACTACCTCGCGAATAGTAGATAGACGTCGGCTTTCTTCTTCAATGCGTCCCAAGTGAGCCTGAACTCTCTCTCTAACCTCAAGTTTCTTCTTCTCGATCTCTTCTTCCTTTGCCCTAAACGTAGAGAGAGCCGACTTTGACATCTCTTCGTCTTCTTTTGTTAGGGTTCCGTTGAAGCTTAGACTCCCAGAGATTTGCCCTGATTGTGTGAGTGCTTGTTGCTGTTGTTCATATGCCTGCCTCTGTGTTTGCATCATCTTTCTCTCTCTTCTCGGAAACCCTTCTCCCTTGAATTTCCTCCCTCTCTCTCTCTCTCTCACTCTCTCTCTCTCTCTCGCTTTTGCTTTGGAATGATGGGTTCTCTCTCTCTGTCTCTCCTGTTTGCAGGTGCTTATGAACAAGGCTGGCCTTGATGTTTAAAGTTTCTCAAGCCAAGCTTTGCTTTTCTTTATGGCCTACAAAAGAAAAAGAGTAAATATATGTATAGAAATATATTACAAAAGCATAAGCTGAAGTGAAATGACCCAACTGCCAAGCACTCATGAAAAAAAAAACAAAAAACAAAAGGAAAAAAAAGAAAAGAAAAGAAATGAATGGATAAGAATTCACCTTTAGAGAATTAATAAGACTGACTGAGCAAATTCAAAACTTGTCTCAATTATTCATGAACCCCACTTCATATGTGTATATATATACTTCTTCTTCTTATTTTTTATTTTTATTTTTATTGCTAACGAAGAAATGGTAAATTATAAATATATTTTTGAGATTTGTTTAAAATATAATTTTTTTATAGTTTTAGAAATTATATCTCGTCCATTGAAGTTTTTTATTTTATAAAAATGATCTATTTTATTAATAAATTATAAAATCAATTAACAGTTTTTAATGAGGTCATAAATTTATTTTAATTAATAATTCAAGAAATTTTATCATTATATAAGAGAGTGTTTATGAATTTTAATAAAAAATTCTGATAAAGAGATATTTGTAATTTTTTAAACTATAAAAATAATATGTATTTTAAGTAAATATCAAAGAATATATTTGTAATTTATCTAAAAAGAGAAAAGAAAATGAAAGAAAATAAAAACAATAGTTAAGTGTTAGTACATGTACCCGTACAACGTGGTGCAGCAGAAATACTAACAATAAGACCTTTTATTGTGGTGTTTTATTACGTACGGAATTTAAGTTTTTGTTTAGCATTGGTTTTTTTAGTCAGTTTTTTTGTGTTGAGAATTTTTTAGTCTCGTTTGATTTGGTTTTTTTAGTTTTTTTAAGAGAAAAAGTGTAATAATTATAATTTGAATATGATATTTTATCTTATTAGCTTATGTACCTAATTTTATTTTTTTTGTACTTTTTTAGTCAAAAATGTAAAGCCAAATGAAACTTTTAATGTGGATAATTTTCATGATATTTTTTTTTATAATACTTAATATTACTCAAACTTTTAACACCTCAAAAAAAAAAAAAAAAATAATAATAATAATAATAATAATAAAAATAAAAATAAAAATAAAAAAAATTGATAGATTTATATTATGACATGGAAAATTTGTTGAGAGATGCACATGGATGTACGGTGTACCATCTGTCATTGTAATGAAGGTTAATTCTTAAGTTGGTACAGTGGCAATTCCAACTTGCCTGTCATACTTCTTTCACATGGGGTTGGCTCACTCACGCAATTAATCATAATATAGTTATATTCATCATATATATAAATTAATATAAATATGTTTTGTACAGTTTGTAATTCAGTAATCCAGTTTGTTAACTATACCTTTTTTGCCGGCCTAGGGAGCAAACAGCTTGGCATATAAACAGTTGATTAGTGTATATGTATCTGTCTATATAGCTTTTAACAGGTTGTATTTTTGTAGCAATTGGATTTGGATCTTTATGCGTAGATGTTAGCTACTGCTGTTATGCATCTTACTATGAATATAACATCAAATTAGCACATGGATGCCTAGAGGTATATATTATACAAAACTGTAATTTGTAAATGAACCTAACTCTCCTCCAGTCCACTTTATCCAGTCCAGCTTGTGTTGCTCACCACGACCCTACTTGGATGATCTTTTCTGTTTAGGTTTTTAGGTTTTAGTGTGTAAATTATCAGTCTAAAAAACTAGATTGATTTGATAACTATATATAGTAATGCAATTTTATCGTTTTTGTATTTATTTTTTTTTAAATGAATGATTTGTTTTTAAATTCATACGTGTTTATTTTTTCAATATATAAAGACAATTAAATTACATGACTCGTGAATGATCTACCCATTGGAATTTTGAAAAATAAATGACATAGATCGTTGAAGTAGGACTCTTCATGAATTTTTTTAAGTCATAATATATAGTAGTGGATTGGAAAGGAGTTAGGTCCTTTAAAAAAATAAGCACAAAAATATATTAACAGATTTATCTAGTATATCTAGTAAGAAAAAAGTTTGGTATGGAGCAAATAGTTTTGTGTACAGCATGTTAGGGCACGGAATTTTCGCCATTAATAAGTGTAGCCGTTATGTGAGCCCACAAATCAATAGCTAATTTAGGAATAATCAATACAAGAAAAAAAAAAAATTTAAAAAAGTAGGTAAATGGACAGCACCACCAGCAGAAGCGGCTTAAGCTTAATCTTTTGACAAATATGCTACCTTTTCCAATAAGGCTTTAAAGGAAGAATCTCCTTTTTAATATATATCTAGATATTTATTTATCAACCTATATTTTTTATTTGGGAAGTGGATTATTTTAATAGGTTATTTTAATTTTTGATTATTTTAATAGGTTAAAATTTTTGTATTTGGAAAAATGGTTAGATTTTTTTTTTTTTTTTTGTGATTGACTTTAATGTTTGTGAGAGAAAAAATGAAATGATCCTATCTTTGATGTGATATTTTGTATTATTAGATCTTTTAGCCTATTTTATTTTTTTGTCAATTTTAACCTAAAAAATTCAATTTTAACTTTTGCCAAACAAGACCTATATATTTTATCCTTTTTTCTGTTATTTATTTTCTTAGCCCTTTATTTTTATTGGTATGATTGAGTCAAGTTGTACTTTACTTATTCTAAAATGACATAATCACAATAAGTTAATAATGGGTCTGTCTAGCTTTTTCCTTTATGTGGGAGGACCATTTCAACTATTGACTCATTCAAATTTTCAGAATTTGAACGGTCATGATCGTACGACCAGGTTATTCTGGCCCTAGGAATCTAAGATGGGGTCATCCATCAACGGTGGGCGTTCAATGAACGTTATATATTGCAGCCCCCTCGCGTGCTACGAAATTGCTGATTAGTACAATTAAAATATATATTAATAAAAGCATCAAAGATACGAACTTTTCCTTAATGAACAAAGCATATACATTTAATTTCAAGGTTGTGTTTGTGAATTTAATGATTCCTTCCGTCAGACCAACTAATTCATATATTATTTAATACGTTTGGCGTGTAGAATATGTGGTACACGAGATGAGCAGTGTTAGAAATATAAGCATTTTGATAACAAGTTAAAAAAGTTAATTTTTTAATTTTTTTAGTTAAAAAAAGTCATTTTTTTTTTTATCTAAAAGAATCTAGTTTTTTGTCAAAAAAATCAAAAAAATTAACTTTTTACTAACATCCCAAAACACTCCAAAATTTATGTACCGAAAAAAAGAAATATAAAATTTGAAACATAAAAATAATACAAGATAGGAAACAAATGTGAGTCTTTCCCTTTATTTCACATTTTTAATTTTTTATGTTATTTGCAATGATCTAAATAAACATATTTTTAACTTTTTACACAAAGTTGTACAAAAAATTAAAAATGTGATATGACTAAAAATAAAAAATAAAAAAATACACTTATATAGCACATGCCAAACAAATTATCTTATTAGAGTTTTCATACTAATACAATCCCACTATGTCTTCTTTTTTACTCCTAATAAGATTGCTCACTTATTGCGCGAGCACGCGGCCAACTGATAAGCATGGAAATATCAAGTGATTTCTCCAACTCCAAGATAATTTCTTGGGAAAATTATAATTTAGTGAAAGTGAGACAAATATTTATTAAAGGGTGAAAATCTTCTTGGAGTGCAACTTTTGCTATGTTTTTCTATATTAAAATAATTGATAGCAAAAATTACATTCCCATATATTTGTAATTATTTTTTTAGATAAATTTAAAAATTTAAGGTTTATTTTATACATGACTCAAACTCTAAGGATGTGTTTGGTAACGTTTATATTTTTAGTTTATATTTACAAAAATTTTATAAATTATTTTTTGTTTATTTTTAAAAAAATATAAACTACAAACGTGTTTGGTAATTGACAAAATGTTTAAAAAAATTTAAAAATATAAAAAAGAGTGATAAATGACAAGTGGTGACAAGTGGCAGCGGAAGACGGTGGTGGAAAGTGGTGACGGTGAGTGGTGGGTAGCTAGTGGTGGTGGATGGTGGCGGGTGGGTAGTGGTGGTGGGTGGGTGACGGTGGCGGGTGGTAGCGAGTAGGTGATGGTGGTGGCGGATGGTGGGTGGTGGTGGCAGGTGGGTAGTGGTGGGAGTATTTTGAAGAGTTTCATATTTGAAGTCATTTTATATTCATTTTGAAATGTTTTCCAAATAAAAAAAATTATTATATAAAAAATTTATCTCAAATTTGATTCATATACATTGTGTACCTTACCTTTCTAGCAAAAAATAAAAAAATAAAAAAGGAAACATAATAGAAAAAATGATATAACAGTAAATTTAATTTTTTAAATAATATATTAAATATAAATTTTCAAAATTAATGAGACTAATTGGTCTGTAAAAAAATTCTTTGATGGATCATCTTTTCTTAAAATGGAATTTATAGATAAATTTTCTTAAGTTGTTTAAGTTACTACTGTTGAGTAATTTTCCATTAAGTCATAACCAAAATCAAAATTTTTGGGTAAAACCAAACACCCATTTGGACCATGATTCTAAGACCGCTTGGATTAATAACCAAAACATCGCTTCAGACCATAACAAACACAATTTGAGATTTTGTATGAAAAAAATCATTTTAGATATTGTACCCAAGGTTACTTTGGGGATTAAGGTTGTGTTTGGTTTATGAATTTGGATAAAAATTTGAAAAGAGAAAAGAAATAAGTGTGTGCAATATAAGTATATTCTATGTATATTTCACATACAATATTTATTTTTTATTTTTTTCAATTTCTACCCAAATTCAAGAAGCAAACCTATGGCTAAATCCTATTTTGATTTGACCATATACGTACTTCAAAAATACTATAAAGCATAACTTGTGCTAGCAAGATTGAAATAAACAGACAGACACACAAATAAACTGCCCTTTGAATTTCAGAGCTGCATAATAAGGTCCTACTTTTATAAGGGGATTAATTATGAAGATATTTATAAATTAATTTGGTCATTTAATTAATTATAATTTTTTGT